AGGGAGGGAGGGAGGGAGGGAAGAAGGAGGGGAAGGGAAAAGAAAAAGAAAAAAGGAAACTTATTTAGCAAAGGAGAAAAACATGCCTGGCTGTGGAATTCTGGGAGTTGAAGTCCACAAGTCTAAAAAAATTGCTGCCTCACCAGCCATAAATCTCACCGCATATCACTGATTGTAATGTGTAATGTAAAAGTAAAGAAAATGACCATATGAATTGTGTTAAATTAATATAGAATTCAAATATGTATCGCATGTTCCTCAGTATAGCGCTCAAAGGTGTAGTGTGATCCTCAGCCCAAAAGCTGATATATCCCTGTGGTAGATCCATTTACAGTGACAATAAAGTTTAGTTTAGTTCTGTTCTGAAATGTTTGCACCAACACTGAGTTTGGTTAACTCACCTATATATCTTTTGGCCAATTGTACAATCAGGTTCTTCCACTCTATCACTTGCTTTTTATCATCAAAGTCAGTGAAGTATCCTGAAGGACTTCCCATCAATTCAAAACCTTCATTTAAGATAAAAACAAAGGCAAGATAATTCAATCAATCAAGTGTTGATAGCAGTTTTGAATTTTTCAGTATAAGTTTACTTTAGTCCTCACTTGTGAACTAAAGTTAATATCGAAGGAATCAGAGAAACAATTCCATTTAGTGTGTGTGCAAAACAGGAAAGCAAATACTTTATGATAATAACAGATAAATAAGTCAATTAAATTCTTAAAAATGCAAATCCTCTACTGGATATATTTGAAGGAAGCACTTCAGTTTTCAAACCATAATTATAACCATGTGCACTCTTACCAATAATTTAAACACTATCAGTTTAATTATTGATGTTCAGGTGAACAAGGCAGGGCAGTGAGAATATACTTTAAGTATTGATTTACAGTAATACAATATTTGGTGTTTTATACAGCACTTTTTTGTGGCTTTCTACACATTCTCCAAATCTTTATATACGTTCTATGGGATGAATACATTCTACTTCTATTACCCTCTTATTAGAGAGTTGGAACAATGGGTTAAGGTGTACTTAGTGTTCATGGCTCAACTGAGAATTTACCAAGAACTTGTCCTATTATATTAATCAGTGCACACTAATTTCCTCCTGATGTGCATTCTTAAAATGTCATTGAGAAACTGAGGTTCAAAACAACTTGAGAAATCTTTTCGTAAAATTCTACTTGGGAGGTTAAGCGGGCGTGTCTGCTCAAGCATTCTTTTACCTCAAATATAATTCTCCATCATTGCACATCCTGGGTCTCTGGGATATACAGATAGTCCTCGACATACAACCATTTGTTTAGTGACTGTTGAAAGTTACAATGGCATTGAAAAAAGTGATTTATGACTAGACTTCACCTTTATCACCATTGCAGCATCCCCACAGTTATGTGATCAAAATCTGGAGACTTAGTAACCCGGCATGCATTTACAAGTTGCAGCATCCAGAGGTCTTATGATTGACATTTGCCACCTGGCTTCCAACCAACTCAGTCAATGAGAGAAGCTGGATTTGTTTAACAACCATGGCAAAAAGGTCATAAAATTAGGCACGGCTTACTTAACAAACACCTTGCTTAGCAATGGAAATTCTATTCCCAATTTGGTCGTTAAGTTGAGGACTACCTATATCTATACTATTCAGATTGCAAGTGGAGGCTCTTATACTAATATCAATTCCTACTCAACACCCACCCCCCTGCCCCACTTCATTTCAAATAAACTTCATACTGAAGTTGTGTGGTCCAGATATCAGTTTTATTTTCCCATTGAAAACTGAAAACTAGACCTCAAACTTGCTTTAAGGAAGGCACAAATTGCAACTATTTCCTCACTACTTTTTATATTGTTCTTTTTTTTAAAAGAATAGCACAAAAAAGAAACAGCTCTGCAACGAAGTACATTCTTTGCCGGCAAGTTCATATAACCTGTTAACCTACAATATGGTTTGTTTCTTTTCGGTTTAGCCTGCTGTGTGAACTCAGCCCAATGAATTTTTCTTTTAATAGCTATAGCTAAAGAAGCCATCTTCTTCACCTTTTTTTCACTTCAAGCAAAGGGACTTTGGTAGAGGTGCTAAGAAGAACTGAGAAGAATAGCTGACACTTGGAATTGACAAAATTAGGCTTTAAGTAAGAGCTCTGCACCTTTATTGGCTGATGGGCATGTGTGAAATTTTGAGAACAGAAGGGCATTCTCACAAGGGGATTTGTGTTGCCCATTCACAAAGTGATAACATAATGAGACTGCTAAATAGTCTCTCCCTCCACAATAAATGCTCCAGTGTTCCTGATTCATCTTTTTCTTTCCTTTTTCTTTCCCTTTCTTTCTCTTTCTTTCTTTTCCTTCCTTCCTTCCTTATGAAACATTAGGCTGCTTTTCAAACAGGCCATAGGCTGTGAGAAATGGCGAGAAAAGGCTGAAACTGATTTGTGTGTATTTCTCCAAAATATCATTTTCTTCCACTAATTAATTGTTTTACTGGGTATTTAATTTAAACCACCTTGAATCTCTTTGGCTTGGTGGCCTTTATAAGTTTACAATTTCATTCACAAACACATATGTGTATGCATGTGTATGTAAAAAACAATCAGGGAGACTGTCAAAGTTATAAGCCAACAAATAGCCTAATTATAGATAAGACTAATGGACTGATATGAAGTACTGTATTATATTCAGCTAAAATGAGGCTAGAGTTTTTTTTATTCATTCAGTAATCTAAGAATAGAATTCTACATCCATTGAAAGATTAGATGAATCCCATACTGATCTCCAAAAAACAATGGTATAATAACAAGAGCATTGCATTTTTCTTTTAATAACAACAGATAGTTGCAGAGTCTCTGTCTCTGACAACATTGGCTAAATATGAAATGCGCACATATCCACTGGCATTAGATAAGGTACTCATTACAGTATATGTCTATCTAGTGCTAGCTATGGATTTTCCTCGGATCAGATATAAAACAAAAATCGTTCAGCTGTGTGAAGTATAAGCACTTTAATGCTAACATTATTTGCAAAGGCTGTGTAACTTCCAACTGCCCTTTGTCCTTAAGGAAATGTAAAAATATCCATCAGATATGGTGGAAGTTTAACTTTTTGAATTGCAACATTTGCTTGTTAATTTTTTGTAGTGGTCAAGATAAGCAAATGATTGCACATAACTCGAAATACCTTCACTTAAACATTGTAAAACAGAGTTAAGAATTGGCTGGTTTTATATTTACCAGGATGTAGCTTGTTTTCCCAAAGAAGATGCATAAAGTTATCCAGGCTTGTGAAATTGTAATGAATTGTCCCATTTATCACCCTGAAAAAAAATTGCAGGCTTTTGACAGCTGTTTGAACTGAAAGTTATTCCACCCCACCCCACCCCCAAGTATAATTTCACAAACTTTTCATCAATAAGATAAAGGAGCAGCAAACTAATTTACAATAGAATTTATGCTACTGTATATACCAGAAGAACGTTCTGATTTCAGCAGAAAAAGATGAACTGGAGAATTTTTTTAAAAAAAACCATATATTAGCCTTCTTTAACTTGGTGCATCCAAAGATATTCAATTATAACTCTAGAATTTGAAGCAAGCATGCAGAAAGCTGAGAGAGAGCTTTCTACATGCTGACTACGAACAAAATGAGAAGTTACCGTGTGTACCAGGGGTGGGTTTCAACCGGTTCGCGGCTGTCCATGCGAACCGGTTGGTCGCCGAACCCGGAAGTAAGTAACTTCCGGGAACGTCGAAGGCCCCCCCCTGCGCCCGCCCGCGCCCGCTCCTTACCTGGTTTTGATGAATTCTGCGCTTCCACGCATGCGCAGGACGCATACAGCGCTTGCGCGATCCTCCAGGAGCAGCTGGAGCATCGCACAGACGCTAGTACGCACTTCTGATATTGTTTGCTTTCTATAAAAAAAAACCTCATTACTGAATTGCCTTTTATGATATAAGGATGTATTCTGACCCCCCTCGTCCCACACCAACACACACTCCGAGCCAA